GCACATGGCCAGAGGGTGGCGACACCTTTCCCGCCAGGGGAAACAAAGGGAGCAACTCGTGGTGAGTACCAATTAGTGATTTTATTTTGAAGGAGCTTCAAATAAGGAGATACAAGTGTTCCACTATGTTCAAGAAGAAGAAGACAAGCAAAAGAGCATGAGTCAGGATAAGTATAAAATATCAATTTTACTCTAAAAAATTACATTTTGCTTCGTTATTAATGTGAAAATATTTATGTATAATAATTGGCATCACTGTTTTGTATTGATGAAGCTGTATAGCGTGGACACCATTCTTTAGGTTCACGCCACCGTCAATGAAAGGAAAATATTGAAATATATTACTGAGTAACAATATGAAAGTTACTCTCTCATCAACCACCTCTATGTTAGTTCACAAAGTGAAGGTGACCTTCTGTTGTTAAAGTATGCAGCGTTCTAAATACCTGTCTTCCTGTTTCTGCAAGGTAGACAGTTTTTTTCTCCAATGGTGGACTTTGTACTTCTAAAACATGGCCTGGTTCATATTGACTTGTAAAACATGACCTGGTTGATACTGACTTGTAAAACATGGCCTGGTTGATATTGACTTCTGGTTGATATTGACTTGTAAAACATGGCCTGGTTGATATCGACTTGTAAAACATGGTCTGGTGGATATTGACTTCTGGTTGATATTGACTTGTAAAACATGGCCTGGTTGATATTGACTTGTAAAACATGGCCTGGTTGATATCGGCTTCTAAAACATAGCCTGATTGATACTGACTTGTAAAACATGGCCTGGTTGATATTGACTTGTAAAACATGGCCTGATTGATACTGACTTGTAAAACATGGCCTGGTTGATATTGACTTGTAAAACATGGCCTGGTTGATATTGACTTGTAAAACATAGCCAGATTGATACTGACTTGTAAAACATGGCCTGGTTGATATTGACTTGTAAAACATGGCCTGATTGATACTGACTTGTAAAACATGGCCTGGTTGATATTGACTTGTAAAACATGGCCTGATTGATACTGATTTGTAAAACATGGCCTGGTTGATATTGACTTGTAAAACATGGCCTGATTGATACTGACTTGTAAAACATGGCCTGGTTGATATTGACTTCTAAAAACATAGCCTGATTGGAAACTGATTTGTAAAACATGGCCTGGTTGATATTGACTTGTAAAACATGGCCTGATTGATACTGACTTGTGTAAACATGGCCTGGTTGATATTGACTTCTAAAACATAGCCTGATTGATACTGACTTGTAAAACATGGCCTGGTTGATATTGACTTGTAAAACATGGCCTGATTGATACTGACTTGTAAAACATGGCCTGGTTGATATTGACTTCTAAAACATAGCCTGATTGATATTGACTTGTAAAACATGGCCTGGTTGATATTGACTTCTAAAACATAGCCTGATTGATACTGACTTGTAAAACATCGCCTGGTTGATATTGACTTCTCGTTGATATTGACTTGTAAAACATGGCCTGGTTGATATTGACTTCTAAAACATAGCCTGATTGATACTGACTTGTAAAACATGGCCTGGTTGATATTGACTTCTGGTTGATATTGACTTTTAAAACATGGCCTGGTTGATATCGACTTCTAAAACATGGATATTGACTTCTCGTTGATATTGACTTGTAAAACATGGCCTGGTTGATATTGACTTGTAAAACATGGCCTGATTGATACTGACTTGTAAAACATGGCCTGGTTGATATTGACTTGTAAAACATGGCCTGATTGATACTGACTTGTAAAACATGGCCTGGTTGATATTGACTTTTAAAACATAGCCTGATTGATATTGACTTGTAAAACATGGCCTGGTTGATATTGACTTCTAAAACATAGCCTGATTGATACTGACTTGTAAAACATCGCCTGGTTGATATTGACTTCTCGTTGATATTGACTTGTAAAACATGGTCTGGTTGATATTGACTTCTAAAACATGGCCTGATTGATACTGACTTGTAAAACATGGCCTGGTTGATATTGACTTCTGGTTGATATTGACTTTTAAAACATGGCCTGGTTGATATCGACTTCTAAAACATGGATATTGACTTCTGGTTGATATTGACTTGTAAAACATGGCCTGGTTGATATTGACTTCTAAAACATAGCCTGATTGATACTGACTTGTAAAACATGGCCTGGTTGATATTGACTTGTAAAACATGGCCTGATTGATACTGACTTGTAAAACATGGCCTGGTTGATATTGACTTCTAAAACATAGCCTGATTGATACTGACTTGTAAAACATGGCCTGGTTGATATTGACTTGTAAAACATGGCCTGATTGATACTGACTTGTAAAACATGGCCTGGTTGATATTGACTTTTAAAACATAGCCTGATTGATATTGACTTGTAAAACATGGCCTGGTTGATATTGACTTCTTAGTTCTAAACATGACCTGGTTGATATTGACTTGTAAAACATGACCTGGTTGATATTGACTTGTAAAACATGGCCTGGTTGATATTGACTTCTAAAACATGGCCTGATTGATACTGACTTGTAAAACATGGCCTGGTTGATATTGACTTCTAAAACATGGCCTGATTGATATTGACTTGTAAAACATGGCCTGGTTCATATTGACTTGTAAAACATGGCCTGATTGATACTGACTTGTAAAACATGGCCTGGTTGATATTGACTTCTAAAACATGGCCTGATTGATACTGACTTGTAAAACATGGCCTGGTTGATATTGACTTGTAAAACATGGCCTGATTGATACTGACTTGTAAAACATGGCCTGGTTGATATTGACTTCTAAAACATGGCCAGATTGATACTGACTTGTAAAACATGGCCTGGTTGATATTGACTTGTAAAACATGGCCTGATTGATACTGACTTGTAAAACATGACCTGGTTGATATTGACTTCTAAAACATAGCCTGATTGATATTGACTTGTAAAACATGGCCTGGTTGATATTGACTTTTAGTTCTAAACATGACCTGGTTGATATTGACTTGTAAAACATGACCTGGTTGATATTGACTTGTAAAACATGGCCTGGTTGATATTGACTTGTAAAACATGGCCTGATTGATACTGACTTGTAAAACATGGCCTGGTTGATATTGACTTCTAAAACATGGCCCTGATTGATATTGACTTGTAAAACATGGCCTGGTTGATATTGACTTGTAAAAACATGGCCTGATTGATATTGACTTGTAAAACATGGCCTGGTTGATATTGACTTCTAAAACATGGCCTGATTGATATTGACTTGTAAAACATGGCCTGGTTGATATTGACTTCTAAAACATAGCCTGATTGATACTGACTTGTAAAACATGGCCTGGTTGATATTGACTTGTAAAACATAGCCTGATTGATACTGACTTGTAAAAAACATGGCCTGGTTGATATTGACTTTTAAAACATAGCCTGATTGATATTGACTTGTAAAACATGGCCTGGTGGATATTGACTTTTAAAACATGGCCTGATTGATATTGACTTGTAAAACATGGCCTGGTTGATATTGACTTCTAAAACATGGCCTGATTGATACTGACTTGTAAAACATGGCCTGGTTGATATTGACTTGTAAAACATAGCCTGATTGATACTGACTTGTAAAACATGGCCTGGTTGATATTGACTTGTAAAACATGGCCTGATTGATACTGACTTGTAAAACATGGCCTGGTTGATATTGACTTCTAAAACATGGCCTGGTTGATATTGACTTGTAAAACATGGCCTGGTTGATGTTGACTTGTAAAACATGTCTGGTTGATATTGACTTGTAAAACATGGCCTGGTTGATATTGACTTCTAAAACATTGATATTGACTTGTAAAACATGGCCTGGTTGATATTGACTTCTAAAACATGGCCTGGTTGATATTGACTTCTGGTTGATATTGATTTGATACCAAAAAACATGGCCTGGTTGATATTGACTTCTGGTTGATATTGACTTGTAAAACATGGCCTGGTTGATATTGACTTCTAAAACATGGCCTGATTGATACTGACTTGTAAAACATGGCCTGGTTGATATTGACTTGTAAAACATGTCCTGGTTGATATTGACTTGTAAAACATGGCCTGGTTGATATTGACTTCTTAGTTCATTAGTATTGTTCTATTTGATATAGACTTAGTTAATAAAATAAAGGATGATAAAACTAGCATCTTGAGTGGCTCTTAAGGTAATGATCTGATAATCTTGACTAGCCATTTATTAACTGGATTGTCAATCTTATAATTCATGTAACTTGATATTTACTGGAATTTTAAACTCTGGCCTATGTTTGAGCTAGAACAGATTTCTGAAACATAGCCTGATTGATACCTGACTTTCCAAAAATGGCCTGGTTGATAGTCGACTTACTGTTATTATGTATGGCACTTTATGACTATCTTAGCTTAAGATAGTTGTAAATTAATGTTAATGTATGGCATTTCTGTGACACATTGATTGCATGGATTCAGATTTATGAATCTGACTTATACTACAAACATAGTCTATGGGAACACCCTAGACTTTGATAGTCATGTATAAACTAAATTGGTGGACATGTATACTATTGATAAATGCAACTTTCTGTCTGCTTAATGGGCACTTCTAAAACATAGATTGATTCGATACCAGTGCCCAGATACCACAAGCTGCATGGGAAGTCTGATTTCCACATGCACTAGGCTGTTGTGTTTGGGCGTTTGAATCAAACATGGTGCTGGTGTGTTTCAGCTTCCTAATGTTTTTTGCTGTTTTTGACAATTTTTCATTTCGCTCAAACTCAACGAATATTGAATCAGTTGCATCACTGCAAGTTCTAACATGTTTAAAGTGCCCATTAAGCACACAAAAAGTTGCATTTACCGTACAGTATAATGAATGACCTCACCACTGGGTTTAGTGTATATATGACTATCAAATTTTAGGGTGTTCCCGTACTTTTTGTTTGTAGTATATGTTACAATATGTCTGTTGTAGTCGATGTATGGTGATGAGGAAGAGGATGATGATGAGGATGATGATGAGGATGAAGATGACGATGATGAAGATGACAGCCCACCTACCACATCACGCGCGCCTCGAGTCCACTACGCATAGAATCCAGGATCTTCCACGCAGACTCACTTTTAACTGTTCTGACACATACAACATTACGCTTCACTCATCACAATACACTGCAACTTTTCAAGAAGGTTGAACAGGGTCACAAGTTTTGTCACTGTGCATTGTTTCATTGCTCCAGATGTCTGTCACATTGTCACATTGTCTGTCACATTGGGTGTTGATAGTTTTAGGGGTATGCAACCCTACGTTTGATACAGATAACCAAATATGTCATTCTATTTATATACTTGCTCGACATACGAAAATCAATAATAAGTGTGACAAAAATGCTGTTCAGGTAGTTTAAATTTGCACCTGTTCATGTGCTGATCTATACACGATGCCTTCTTTCAATCAGTACGTGTAAATGAAGACTGAAAATAATACATTGGGTAATTAAGCATGTTGTGCCATTGCTTTGTTATTTCATGTGTATGCATATTAGTGTGCAGCCAGCTCAAAGCTATTTGGGTTAGTGTGATAAAATTTGCATATTCTATGCAAATATGCAACTTAGTTGGTGCCCTGTTGTTGCAGCTTAAAACATGCTCTAGTAGTACTGCATGTTCATATTGTTGACTTTATTTAATCATTATGAACCAGATTAATCTTTCTTTAGCCTTTTACCCATCAGTACACTAAACAATGGAAGAAAAACTTAAAATTTCCACTGAAATCCATGAGCAATCATAATATTTTAAGTTAAACAAATTGCAAATTGACCTTTGAAAACAAAAGTTCCAACCTTGATTCAAAGCTGCAGAAAGTTTTTGAAGACATGAAACGTATTAAGAAAAGCAAGATTTATGGATGTCAACCTCCTTATTGTGAATAACATGATGTTTCAGAGTGTATGCTTGCCCCTTCATCAGGTCATGAAACGTATTGGATTGGCTTCCGTGTTATAATTTGGCTTCCTCTTACAATTCCTCCCCGGTGTAAACATTTTGGCATGTATAAACATTAACACATGAGATTACCCAGTATTCAGATGAGAATAGGGCAAGGAGTAACCTTGCTGTGTTTTCAGAAACATGAAGAAGTTGCTATTCATATACAGTTCCACGACTTTCTGTTGTTCCAAGTTCTGAATGCTTGTAAAGACTCATCAGAGAAAGTTGTGTTCTTTTATAGCCAGCCTTCAGTTAAGGAAGCAAGTTGTGTTTTGCAGTGTATGAAATAAGCCCCAAACCCAGCCAGAAATCAGGGCTGGAAACTTCAACATGTTACCATCCCAAAATTGATTTCACCAGACCAGACACAAAGACATGGTGAATTTATTCAGATGTATGGAATATCTAAAAAAAATTACCAGACCATCGGGCTGGCTAGTTGTAAATGTAGACCTTTCATCAGAAATCTAGCCCATCTTGGGCGGTCGGACGGGCCATATTTCAAACACTGTGTTTTGTCATCATTATGTACCTATAACATTTCACATTAATTTCAAATCAATGTCAATATCATTATAAATTAAAACAATGTGACAATATGAACTTGTGTCATAACTCCGAACAATATTGTCGAGATATCTGATATTTCTGTTTGAAGATTGAGTGATGAAAATATGACATTACTTTGTCCATGTATATATGTTGTAAGTTATTGCATCAGCTGTGATATAAAGTACCTGTGTTACCTCACTGATGATAGTCAGTCTCTACAAACACCTGCATACTTCGTTAGTGGCGCATGGAATGAAACAACATTGTATCAGTGTTACTTGTGCATCATATCGTAAAGCTTTCTAAACTTTGTTCATGTTGTGGTACACATCTTTATAAAACTAAAAGTGCTCATAGAGTAGCCACATTTCTTGAATTTGCTGTTTTACTTTTGTATGCAAATGAGTAATTGCAGCTAATGGATAATGGTAATTGACATTGTGAGGAATATAGATATGCATGTAAACAGAAGCCCATGGTGGCGGTATAGCATATCAAGGACCTGGACCAGAAAGGTCTGTTTGTGTCCAACACATCCCTGATGTTTAACATGGTAGATGTTTTTCACATTTGCGCTTCATTTGCCTGTGACAACTGATAGCAAAGGTGCCAACATTTGTTTAATCAGATTATCTGTACTTTCATAATGCCATTATTTTTGTTGTATAAATTGAGGATCTTATTTATTTGGGAGGGGGTGGGTTTGAATCCCAGATTGGTCGTGAACCAGAAAGGTTCTAGAATGAGTACTTCAGAGAGAACGTTGTGTGGGGAGTGTCTACGGTTCTGTCCGTAAGATCCTGACAACCGATATGTAGTGCTGACTTGAATCATCTCCATTCTTATACAGGATACATTAGGGACCGTTCATAATTTATGGCTAGGGGGATGATGATGATTTTAAAGGGGTCACCCATTTTGTTCTGGGGTGGGGGTGTGTTCATCAATAGTGTACACATGGGGGTCATCAATTTTGTACATAAAATCTGAAAAATTATGCTTCAAAATTTTGGGTTATGTTGATTTTGTACATGACGAGGGGGGAGGGGGGTGTCATCTACTTTGTACATAAATGTTAGGGGTGGGGTGGGGGTGTCATTCACATTGTACATGCTTCTCCATAAACATCATCACCCCTAGCCATACATTCTGAACAGTCCCTTAGTGTACACTGGTTACCATGTAATGTCCTGTCATCTCAAACTGTCATGATCATGACTGCAAGGAATGTTAGTAAAGATCTGAGAAAAGTTCTCTTTCTTATTTGTTTGTGTGTAACTCTTCATTCTAGTCTAATCTACAACCAACATAAATAATTGACCTGTTCGAGTTGGTTGGTTGGTATTTTGTAAACACCGCACTCAGCAATATTCCAGCTATAAGGCAGTGGTCTGTAAATAATCAAGTCTGAACCAGACAATCCAGTGATAAACATCATGAGCATTGTTCTGCGCAATTGGGATACAATGACATGTGTCAACCAAGTCAGCAAGCCTGACCACCCGATCCCGTCAGTCGCCTCTTATGACAGGCATGGGTTGCTGAAGACCAAGTCTAACCCGGATTCATGGGTAGACCTGGTTGAGACAATCCAGTGGTTGATATTGTAATCGGTGGTCTATACTGTCAGGATGTGATGACGTGCAATTAACCAGGTCACCAAGCCGGACCATCACTTGGCCGCCTCTTACCACCAGCACAAATTGCCGAGGACCAGCTATAACCTGGAAACACCACATGGGTGTTTACAGAAATGAGCCGTCACAGTCCATGGACTCCATGAAGATCAGTCAAATGTTTGTTAAATTAATTTCATCATAAATGGCGTATACCCAAGAAAATGTGTGACGAAATTCTGGTTAATGCTGCTTCAATATATTTCATCTTAATGTTGGGAAATCCACATATGGACATGGGTCATGAGATATTTTCCATATTTGTGGAAAGTGACACAGTCATCACTGGGAACAATCTAGGAGTCAAACAAACAAGCAGATCCTGGCACCGTTAAAGGATACAACTCTGTATTGTGCATTGCAGTGCCCGTAACTTGGCCATGGAGGCTTTGTAGATTGAGTTGGATGTAAGTATTACAGTTATTTCACAGCATGCCAACTAGATATGTAAGTCCTAAGTGATGCACACACTAGAAATATAGATTAATGTTGAACACTATCAGCGGGAATATGGTGCTGACAGACCAGATGACTATATCAATGGCAGTTCCAATAAAAACAAAACAGTACTTTCAGTTTGTATTTTATCAGTTTGTATTTATGTACAAGTGATATGATGAGGTACAATGATTAATCAACAAGCAGCAAAACATTGCCTAGATAAATAACAAAGAGCCGTGAACCATAGGGACAGTACAAAAACAGCATACTCTGGAAAATATATGTACTGTAACAGTGGACCCACAAACCCCAGGAAGCTATAACATAAAGTATCACATCTAGGTTGGAGGGAGTGATGGAGTTGTCACCTGCTTTTAGCAATATTCCAGCCACATCATGGCATGGGAACACCAGGAATGGACTTCACACATTGTAATCATGTGGGCAAATGAAGGTGTGACCACCAGTAACAAATGACTGGAAGCTTGGGCATTGGGGCTAAACAATCAGCTAAACTGAGTCTGATTTCTGGGATCCATTGTGATCCCAATGATTGTTAAATGAGGTTGTTGCAATCTTAGGGATAGTTAAATGAGGCCAATGTGATCTTAGTGATTGTTAAATGAGGCCATTGTGACCCCAGTGAATGTGAAATGAGGCCATTGTGACCCCAGTGATCGTTAAAGGAGGCCATTGTGACCCCAGTGAATGATAAATGAGGCCATTGTGACCCCAGTGAATGTTAAATGAGGCCATTGTGACCCCAGTGATAGTTAAAGGAGGCCATTGTGACCCCAGTGAATGTGAAATGAGGCCATTGTGACCCCAGTGATTGTTAAATGAGGCCATTGTGACCCCAGTGAATGTGAAATGAAATGATTAAATGTTAGGCCATTGTGACCCCAGTGAATGTGAAATGAGGCCATTGTGACCCCAGTGATTGTTAAATGAGGCCAGTGTGACCATTGTGACCCCAGTGATTGTTAAATGAGGCCATTGTGACCTCAGTGATTGTTAAATGAGGCCATTGTGACCCCAGTGATTGTTAAATGAGGCCATTGTGACCCCAGTGAATGTGAAATGAGGCCATTGTGACCCCAGTGATTGTTAAATGAGGCCATTGGGACCCCAGTGATTGTGAAATGAGGCCATTGTGACCCCAGTGATTGTTAAAGGACATTGTAATCAAGGTGATGATAATCTAAACTGAAGAGTCTCATGTCCCACTGTCAATCATTTATATATTATTGCAAGTATTCCTTAAAAATGCAGGTGAGCATTAACAATGTTGTGTTGTGGCTTTAACAATGGGTAAGAAAGTAATTTAAAAGCAAGCTGAGAGGTCTTAAAGTGGCCTTTTCTGCAGTGAGTTTGAAAACTCCCCAACACACCAACATGGCAGTAAGGGGCTTCATAATACATAAGTTCACTATAGAGGTAAGAGAAAACACTAAAACAATGAGATTTAAAATCAATAAAATACAAAGCTGTTTTAAGGACACAACCAGAGCAGCATGCTCCTGGACACTGCATGCCTCTTGGTCCCTAAACCCGTACACTGATACAGGGAAACATAATATACTGTCATGCTTTACATTATGATCACATGTCAATACTTAACTTTGAAGGCCACATATTCTCGATCAATGGAACCAACTTGACATTTTAGCTACTGAATACACATGCCATGTATTTTCATGTTGACGTATACCATATGATGTTATATACATGGGGAGAGGGTGTATAAGTTATTTACAATACACAACAGATTGGCACTTTCGTGTGACCAGTATATCACAGGCAATAGGGGCATGGACGGATGTGAGATAATCTCCTGGGTACATCTAGGGGATTCAAGGGACAAATGGTTCAATTCAAATTTCAATCACATGTATAATGCCACACTAGTATGATAAACAAGCATGTATTTACCTTGATCACTGTGTAAGCAAGATAATATATGCACATCTTGCTGTGCACCAAACATATGTATGGTATATGTGGTCAAAAGATACTAACAACCTTTGACCAATCTGTTACAAATTCATTTTATACACTGACAAATGAAGTAATATAGATCAATAAGGGATATTGTCATATACTGCTCTTAACAACGCCAATATCAATTATGAAGTAATTTATTAACGTGAATGAAAAGCTCACCGTGTTCATGGTGCAATCCTTAAACAAAGGTTTTGAACAGGCACCTCCAGCATCTTCTGGATTCAAACCCATGATGAATGAAGCCAGGGTAATACACAATATAAACTTGTGCTGTCATGACTGCTGGACCACCTGTTTTGTCCCTTAAATAACGACAGTAACTATTTCTCACAGAAGACAATGAACTTCTTTGATTGGCATTCTAGAAGTTGTAGATGAAGACAATGAACACAAGGAAATTGCATTAACCTTAACTGACTTAAACATACTCAAATGAAGTAATATCTTTTGCAAGTGTATCAAGACTCTTGAGAATTGGGAACTGGTCATTTATTACTGGGCAGTTGGGCCAGTGGGATTCGGATTAGTCTGAGTACTGTAGACTATTTTACTCACCCCCATCCACATTTTTGCAATAATTTTTCATGTTCAAACAGAATGGTGTTTGTGACCTCTCCATCACCTCAACCTCCCTGTTCCCAAATTGTACTGGCCCAACCCCCCAAAAGTAATGACCAGTGCCACAGACATGTCGTGTATGTTGTATGTAGACACCTGATGTCTGACCCGTAGATAGTCAGGAGTATTCACGGTGATTATCGTCTCTTGGAGCCGCTAGTTCTTGCAGTATCAGCTTCTGTAGTCTCATCTTCGTAACTGTCATCATCGTCATCCTCGTCGTCATCTTCTTCATCGTCATCATCTTCGTATTCATCTTCACTGTCAGGTTTTCGCTGTGAATGCATTACAGGACAGTAGGAGCAAAGGGATGTGAGAATCAAGTAAATTTGAAATACTTTTCTATCTCATTGTGAAAATGACATTAAAAGCTGTCAGTGTGAATGAGTGAGTTGGTCTAATGCTGCTTTGAAAAATATGTCACTCATGTAATGGTCCATTGACTTGGAACTCATTTTGTAAAAATATGGTTGTTTGATTTTGAACCATAAAATACTATCTGTGGACGCCTACATGTTTTGTCAAGTGAACTCATCAGCATCAAGGCTTATAAATTCTTTGTATGATTGTGTGACTTTGCATATCTGACTTTGGTCTCTTGAAAACGGATAAAACCAGGAAGTCTCAAAAGTAGGTGCAGGTCATATGACACATACCTACCACGAGCTGTGTGACTGTTTGGGGCACCTGCTGTAAGGTGAAGGTCATATGACACATACCTACCACGACCTGTGTGACAGTTCGGGGCACCTGATGTAAGGTGAAGGTCATATGACACATACCTACCACGACCTGTGTGACAGTTCGGGGCACCTGATGTAAGGTGAAGGTCATATGACATATACCTACCACGACCTGTGTGACAGTTCGGGGTGCTGGCTGTGAGGTTGGTGTCCGCTGGGTTGTGCTATGGGCAGGGGAAGACTTGGCTGAATTAGGGAGACGACGCTGACTGGTAGGGGTCACGTCCACGGATGGTGGAGCACGACTAGAGTTGAGTGAGGCATCTGATGCCGACCTTGCTAGGCTTTGACGGGAAGTTGATGAACCACTTGATGGCCTGGTTTGTTTTCTAAATTCCTGTAAAACAATCAACTCAAATTTTACAAAGCTAAACACATTCATTCAGAACAATTCCATCCAGAAATCACATAAATGATCACAATGTTCAAGATACTTGATTCAGTTAAAAGTCTCCTGCAAACCTCCCATGCTTCTATAGAAGTTGACAAGAGTCACAAGGCATTCAACACATTCCAGACCTACAAATATTTAACATAAGAGGCTTAAAATATAAGGAGTGTTTAATCTCCCAACCAAGCATATTTTGTTTGGTTGTAGTTTATGCTGCTGGGAAGGTTTACGAACCATGAACCCCCTGTACCTGTGATTGGATCCAGCAACCGTCTTTACACAAACATGTGCCCAAAACCTTTCCATCTTCCAGTACTGTTATCAGTACAAATTAGACCTCACTCACATATGGGCTATAAATATACAGCTGATCTTATTGGACATCATCTGTTTCTACTACACATCAGCATCAAAGACACTAAGATGCAAATGTCAGATTACAGGTGATACCTGCATAGTCATCTCAGTAATACAAATAGAATTCCTAATGGTAGCCACTATCTCATCTCATCTCCCATAGTAACAGATGACTTCTGCTTACCTCGAGGTCCTCTTCTGGGTCTATGACTGCAAGAGTTTGGAAACACTTGGTGTACATCTCAAGGGCCTTGGCATGGAACATCATCTCAATGCTTACAAACTCAGAGAGCATTTTCTGTAATATTCATGAAAGAAGCCCATTACAATAACACATGATAGAACATCAGGTTGAGGGGTTGGGTTATGGCTTACACAACTCAGGGAAGAACTAGTGCAACAGAGTCTTACATGACAGAGTGTTGTGATAATCAGAGGTATTTGTCAATGTGGAAGAATTAAACCAAACATACTTTGCATGAACAATAAACTCCATTAAGAGTTTACATTTCTGAAATAACATATAAAACAAATGACAACATTATTCCTTTTGCTACACTTTTCTTGTTCATAAATTCCAGTGTGATAATCTTGGTCAGACTTCTATCAGTATCACCTCACTACTTTCCTAGAAATAATCTTAGAGTTGTTTCCACATTTTCAGTGCCACTTTGAACAGTACTCAAATTATGTCTGTTTGTCCGCTTGGAAGGAAATCAGGACCCAGATGCCAACCAAAGATCGAAGGTTCCTGGTGAGCCCAAGGGACACAACTCTGTGGCATCTTGAGCAAACGACCCAATACTGTCCCTCTCCCTGAGTGAATGAGTGAGTGAGTTGGGTTTCTACGCTTTTAGCAATATTCAATACTGTCCCTCTCCCTGAAGCACACACTGGGTTCCCACATATGGGAGAACACATGACATCACATGACAGCTTATTCTGACATCACAGCTATTAGTACACACTGTCTGCAGTTCTGAACGCAATCTATTCCTCCATTCCTACCTTGAGATCCTGCACCTTCTTGGTCTCAAATGTATCCATCTGTTGTTCCAGGGCTTTCGAACTCCGGGATGCATCCACACTGGCCTTCTGTAGGTTAGTTTCTGCCTAAATAACATTTAGAATAATCATTAAGACTTTGATACATATTTGGTAGTTACCATAGTTACCAAAATATACTAGAGCATTGTTTGTGATATTTATTGTGTATATATATTTCACCTACAAGATTATTAATCATAATTGTGTTTACATGAAACTCAATGTCTTGCAGTGTGTGATCTGGTTTTGTGTTTTTATTTTTTGTTATCAGATTCCACTCTGAATATATTGCCTGTCATATGTTAGTGAATGACTGAGGTCCCCTGCAGAGTGTGATCTGGTCTTGTGTTTTTTTTAGATTCTCTGAAAATAATGTCTGTCATAAGTTAGTGAATGATTGAGTACGTTTTATGCTGCTTTCAGAAACATTCCTACAACATCAGGGAAACTGACACCAGAAATGGGCTTCATACATTGTTCCCATTTGGGGAATCAAACCCAGATCTCAGGAGTGATAAGTGAATGCTTTAACCACTAGGCTACCCCACCACCCTGTCTGTCATAAGAAAAGTTCACTGGAGTGAATGACTGCAATATTGGACAGGTGCTAAGACTGTGCCTCAGTCTGAATGTTGGTGCTATATGTGAACACTCTTGATAACTGTTCCTTTCCACATTCTAAAACACCCAACAGATCCCCAGGACGTGTACTGGTTCTGTAAGTACTGTATTACTGAATGATACATTGTGACAGTGATGTAGTCCAGTCAGTGCCCTCATCTTGGTTACCATGACTCCCACCTGCACAACCTACAGTTACCTGTGTCTGGGACTCTGTCAAGGAAGATATACAATGTCAAACCAAATACATTAACAAGATGCATGCAGCCAGTTCTTACTATGAAGGTTGTTATCTCACAAAATCTAAAAATAATGTTAATATATAATCAAGGGGACATTACTCTAAACCATGATTTGATAATCCAGATATCTGATTTCTCTAAAAATTCCCTTGAAACGATACCATCTGATATTGGACCCTGGTACGAGGACAGAGCTAGATCACATGTCTCTTTGATGTTCACTCTTACATCCTCCATGGGTACTTTCCTAACCTGGCCTGAAGTATTCACAAAAGTTCTTAATAGATAAGGAGATAATAATGTCTAAAGGTATTCACAAAGAGCCAACATGGAGGGTAGAATACTCTGTCTGTTTTACCCTGCTAACTTAAGACCACACAAGGATACAATCTGTCTGCGATCCCCTGGGTTCTTCTGCTTCACCTTGTCCAGCTTCTTCCTCTGCTGGTGTTCCTTGTCTCGGGCAGAAAATGCTGCCTTCAGCTCGTTCTGCAAGACAGCAATTGTGATTCCTTGACATTTCAGTGGCTAAGCATTCACTTCATTTTGAACCACGAACACAAATAAAATTTCACTCCAACAGAATGCTGTTTCCTGATTGGCACAAAACAGAAATCACTGTTTGTGTCACATCATTGCATTGAATTGTGTTGCATATTTTGTGCTGTTGTCTACAGTATGTGTGTTCCTGATTAACTTAGCAGCCTGTAAAGTATCATTGTTATTTGTATGAATTGATGTCAATTTATTTTCAAGTTAACAGAGATATAAACATAAAAGATGTTGAGCACACGTTACATTAACCCACTATGTGAATTTACAGTGAGCACACATTTTTTATTATATGATATTTATATAGCACCAGTATCCAGCTCAGCTGCTCAAAGGCGCTTTGTTTTATTATCATCGATAATCAATGCGGCACATTGTATTTTGTCAATCTCAACTCGGCTGGGGATCATACTGCTCTTGCAGCCATTTAGGCGCACCAGATTAATGTGGCTTTCCCATCCATATGAGGTACCCATTCAGAGCTGGGTGGACTAAATCACATGTTGATAACATACACACTACAACCAGAGTGGTCGTTCAAAGTATGTACATAAATAGATGATCAAAACAAAAAATGAAATGCTCGTTGAGCAATGTGTTTTTTGTGAAATGTGCTTGTGCCAACTGCTGAGAAATGGAGCTGGAGTGGGGGCTGGCTTGGTTACCATGGTTACACATATGAAAACCTGAACTGTTCACCACTGAACCATAACAAAGACATCACACTGTTGTTGTTGCTATTGATTTTCAGCCAGAGAATCAATGACTATTCTGATTGTGCATTTTAAACAATGAAGAGTGATATTGAACAAACTTCATGGATATCAATTTCTTATATTTTACATCTTTTAAAAATAAAAGAAGTTGTTATCCATAAGATTGTTCAATATTGTAAGTCCAAACTTCTAGAACTCCACTCAAAGAAATGAAAAGTGATGCAAGCATTGGTTATCATTGAAGAATTATTAAGAAATCATTTATCAACCATAACATGACATACATGTGAGACATCTGGTTAATTGTGGCTTGTGGTTTTACTTCCAGACAAAGCAGAATCTCAAAAGGGACTCTCACTGTGACAATCTATGTCAGGTGGACCTCATGAGGTGAGGTGTAATTGGGTTTTACGTCGTGCTTGAGAATATTTCGCTCATATGACGACGTTGGACCTCCTGAATGGAAACAGGTTAGTACACTTGGTATGACCTTTAACGTATCACAATAACAGTTTGTTGTTGCAAGTGGAGAGAGTGAGTGAGTGAGTTGGGTTTTATGCCGCTTTTAGCAATATTCCAACAATATCATGGCTGGGACACCAGAAATGGGCTTCACACATAGTACCCATATGAGGAATCAAACCTAGGCCTTCAGCGTGACGAACACTTTCACCACTATGCTACCCAAATCGTCCCTGTTGCAAGTGGATGTAACGATAATCAACAAGGAATATCCCAGCAATATGTAATACTGTTGAAATTTACATCTGGAACAATACGTACCTTTGTCTGTTTACACATCAGGCCATAGTTACTGAGGGGTGCCACCACTTTGCTCTCGAGGCGACTAACCTGAAATACAACAACACTGAAATATACCAAGTTAACACCACCAAACACAATGTATCATGGTGTATTCTGGATACAACAAACATGCAAATCAGGGAATCTGAATACAGCCCAGCAGTCCATGGTCGAAGTCAGTATCTGCTACACTCACCAATATTCCAGTTGCAGTCAACAATGACAGGGGTGGAAATAACTTTAAAATTGCTAGTGTACTCCGGTACAGTGGCACATCTAAAATCACTTGCCCTGATAATTTTTCCACTATACCGGCCGTTTTATTGTTGATTTTTTAAATAAACAACATAATTAATATTGGAAAGTCAACTGGACACCGGTACAGTGTGATATACAAATTTGCTTGCCCAACAGAAAAAAACACTGGACTCAGGCGTCGGGCAATGGGTTATTTGCACCCCTGAATGAGTACAGAGTTGCAGAGTACAATGAACTCAAAGGGCCGCTAGTTCTAGTTCAGTATAACCATAGCTTGTTACTAACAACATACTAACCATTCCTAACTACAATATACCAAGTGGCTGGGACGAAGAAGACAGTTTGTTATATACATCAGTTTGTTATAAACATTATTGGTATAAATGCATTGTGAAAATATGGAATAAAGGCAAGAAAACGTGTCTTTGGTTCAATAAGTTTCATTCATCTCTTGGGTATCAGAATATACGGTTCAAAGACAGGCATCAAAACATAGGCCTTGTGGCTTCACCATTCCTTACCGGCCAAGGGAGATAACTCCAATATTCTCTTCTGCACATCCAACCGCGAAAAAACATATCAGCAAATTAACTTCTCAACATATTGTTTGTCTGTTATTTAATGCCAGACTCTGCAGTATTTAAGCTATATGGCAGTGGCAGATTTGATGTAGTTTCCTGTATATAACAGCAGCTTGATAATTACAAAGTGAAGGATATCATGGGCAATGATTCACACTGTTTGGGTACGATGACATGGTTATAACCTGCCAAGCCTCGTCACCTGATACTGTTTGTTGTATCTTATGACCAGCATGGATTGAACCAATTCCTGGAATCTCAAAGGTGACTTAAAGTGTGACTTATATCACAGTCTACCTACCTGCGCCTCTCTGTAGTCTTGTATAGTGGATAGGTTCTCTGCAAAATGTGTGAATCCCTTCTTGAGCGTGAGGCTCATTGTCTCATACTCTGCATAATTTACTAAATCTTTAGCCATTTGGTCACCTGAAACAATCAGCAGAAATCCATAACTACAGGGCTTCTCAGAAAGTCAGATGATATGGTCAACATATACACAATCTAAGCAAAATCAGATATTAATCCTATACAACACTTTGCTGTGTCAATATCTGACAATACCTCTGGCACTGGTTCTGATGACCGATCAGATGACAGCTTTCTAAAATAATTCAGGTTGCATTTCTCTACCACCTTGGAAAACTTTGATCTTAGCAAAAGAAACAAAATTACATCAGTTCTTAACAGAACACACATTTTGAGAGCTACATGTCAGGTCACATGAAAGCAACAATATAACAACACAGCATAATGTTTTCTATTGGAAAAGAAGTGATTATCTTCATTATCCATCCACAGAAGCCAGTCATGCTCACTTGATCTGAGAATTAAGAATTCCAGACACAAACTCTCTTAAGCTAAGATAGTCATAAGTTAATGTTAATGCAGGGATTGGGAAAGGCATGGGCCATGGGCCATTTCGCACCTTTGAAGAAGAAATGGACCATTAAAGTTTTGAAGATTACTATTAGGGCTGGGACGGGTAACCCGGGTACCCGGGACGGGTGGGTAATGAGCTAGACCCGGGTACCCGTCACGTTACCCGGACCCGCTTTGATCATGTGACTAATAAATGAAGACTTAATTCAATGTGTATAAAATTATTATATTTACAACGGGATTGTTGTCTAATGTTTGAGATTGTGGACTAAACTAACACAAGGTATCAACTGTCGACAACTAAGCATGTCATGTGTAACATAGGTTGCAAGTACGCCAAGTAGCTAATTGTTTACATGTAAAACACTCAAGAGCGCAGACATCGCCTCAAATAGAGTCTGAACAAACCGCTGAAGGTAGACCTGTTATTACCGAATAGGTAACTTCGCTTTCAAAACATTTACCAAACTGTACGATGCATTACTTTGGCCAGTTGTAACTTAAGGCATTTCAATCTATGGAACACAGGACTATTCATCAACAGTGGCGGATCCAGAGGGGTCAGGTTGGGTACCGGGTAGGAAATTTGGACCCGTCCCAGCCCTAATTACTATTGATACAAGGGCAGTGGCCATTCTAAATTCAGAAAATGGCTAATAATCCTGAAAATGGCCCATTGTCAAAGTTCTCTATCCCAATCCCTGTTAATGTATAGCAATTACGACTATCTTAGCGCTAAGAGAGCTTCGAAAATCTAGGCCCTGGCTGATTAGAAAGTTTCCCTGATGAGACATCCCATGGAGATGATCAGATCAAGTCATGACGGGATATGTATACACTACAACCAGCAGCATCATAATCATACTATTGTATTACTATAACGGCTTCAATTTTATTCCTACTGTAACAATGTTACATAAGGATTTCAAATATTGGAACAGTTACAATGCTCCCAAGTGCTTTGGTACCTTTGTCTCTGATATGAGCAGACTTTCTGGTGTAGGAGGAGAGTGTGTCACATAGCTGTCCAAGGTGTTTCTCCGTGGCCGTGATGCGATCCTGTATCAACTTAGACTGCATTTCACTGTAACACCAACAACAACAACATGTAAAATTGTTTGTAGAAACAGCAGGATGGAATCGATGGAATCAGGCAGCCTCGTCATAAATAACTCAGTATGCTATACCAAGACATGTTTTCTGTAATTACGGTAATTTCAGCCATTTCTAGCCAACTGAGATATGACCTCAATTGTTTATGTTCATGTTCATCATACATTTAGTGCATGTGTATCAATCTGCCATGGTTACTTGATGATACCAATATATCTGTATACGACATCATCACTAGTTGAAAATAGTGCCATACAGTTCAAAGAAAAGAACAAATTATTCTTCTTGCACATGTGAAGTTTAATATCAAGGGGCCTAAAAACATAAATGCTGTGGTTCGGATTACCTGACCGACCCTTGAATTCTGGTGCCGACCCTATTTTTTTAAGCAGACTGAATAAAGTGAGGTTTCAGATACCACTCTTTTTTCCCGACGCTGACAGACATTGGTCATACTGATAGAGAAAGTCGATATGATGGCCGCAAGCTTGATTGAATAAACAATTACACAGTGATACATGCGTTATTAGTTTGTACTTTCCTTCTAAAAAAAATATGTAAAAAAAATTTCCTACCTACCTACCCTAAATTTTAAAGAGATGTTATTGGAACCACAACATTTATTTTTATTTGTCCTACATGTGTTTTCTTTGAAATACAAACAGGTTTTTGCTATAACGTCAGCATGATATCAACTGGCAAAACACAAACTTTGTCAAAAGAGAAGATCTGTATTTGTGGCATTTGATTCTTGGAAATACTTCCCGCCCGTAGCCCCCCTCAAATTTCATTCTAGTCAAATCATATCACCTGAATATATATTTCTCATCTGGTAAGGATGAGTTTTAACATGTTTCTTTAATTGTATTTGAACATATTGAAAGACATATCCAACTTCTAATAATGTCACCCTAAGAAATGTTTCTTCATCGTTAAAATTTAGGGGGGATACAGGTGGAAGTCTTACCATTGTGCTAGTTATTATTGTGATGATGAGGCACTGATTTTACGTCGGTCAAATGTTGCAATTTATCTGAATGAAATTTGTTGAAGTTTTGATGAAGTTAGATAAGAAAAGATAAGATAATATCTTTATTATCCCAAGGGAAATTTGTTTTGCATCATATGCAGTTCTCCAGTTTTTCTTTCATAAGGCAGCCATACATAACATTGCAAATGATAATCATAAAACTATTGTTTAAAGTAGTCAGGATATAAATACATCAATTTAGTACACAAACATTGATATTGACTAGAATTTGGACTGTTGCAGGAAATGTCATTCATTGAATTCAAGGACCATTTCAGCCTATACTTAAACATGCCGACGTTATGTTTCCTTGCGATGTTTTCAGTGAAATATGTCATTTCTTGTTCAACATGCCGACAACAAATTTATATTTTTAAAAATGAACTGACCACAGAGTAACTAAACGGTTTACCCTAAGCGTGCCATGATAATATAGCCTACTGTCAGCTATATCCATCAGCTGTTCGGTAAGGCATTTGACAAATAAATTACAAAAACCCACCAAAAACTTGATGAACGTATTGACTGCCATCCTAATGTCACATAATTGGGATATAAGCGGGTTTAAAAATTCCCACCCTGTATTAATCGATTCAATGAAGCGAATAAGCATGCTAAGTGGCTGATAAACAAGTTGGAGCTTGACAACCCTTCACTGTCAACCTGGAAGACTGGATTTGTTCATATTTGCAATAGAATTGAGAGATCCTTGACCATGGGTAAACAGCAAACATACGATTCCAGTTTCAGTAGTTACCTCGCGCGTATTTCAGCTCCCGATCGACTCATCTCACAATAATGTTTCTCTCGATTACAGCTGCAAATATTTTGAGTTGAATTTTCGTAACTTCGCGGTTGAAGAGCGGGGACCGATTATTGTTGGAATCTGAAAATTGAGCGTTTGCAGAAAAGATGTATCACATTCTAAATTAGATTCGACATCGAAGCAATTATTGTTTCATAGATCAGCACTTTAATTTCATTTTATCCATGAATTAAATATCAACTCCATAAAATTTGACAAGCTCGGGCATTTGAGAAATAAACTCCTAACACAGACGTGGCGATACCTTTCCTATATATTTACCACAAAAGCGCAGTGCGAAATTTTCCGATGTCAAAGCTCTGCAAGCAGATCTGAATGTTGAAAGCTTCACACTTCAAAATCTTCAAGGAACATATAGTTTTTGCCAGTCATGAAGTAATGACTAATGTTTCACTGTTAAGTGATATTTTACACTTAGGTTTCTGAATATTTGTTTTCTAAAAGATAATATGTTGTATAAGTCTAATCAAGAAATAAGTAGAAATCAAATTCAATAAGTAGGTCTATTCATTATTCAAGTTACAGTTATACAAGATATGTCTATGAACTGAGCAAAACTAACGGAATAGACGCATATTTACAATTAGCATGCTATTTCGTCTTTGCAGATATAATGCAACGGTATGTTTTTATCATAAAATGTAATTTCCCTCCGTCATATCCCTGGAATAATGCCGAGTGCTGCGTTAGACCATAAACAAACAAAGGCAAAATATTCAGATTTAGAAGTGATCGCATGGACTTGTCCCGATCTAGTTGGACTGCCGCTCTGTCGCCGTGTGTAGACCGTTCCTTATGCTCTCTGCCTCAAGTTTTTGTGATCAGACCCAATGATTATCCGCCCGTATGTCGCTAGAACATTGCTGTCTGGAGTCTTAGATCGACTATAGGCAGTTCACATCGTCAGGGATTTAATTTTACAACACAAACTATTATTTAAAAATATTTATCAAATTTTATTACTTGAAGCACATTATGTGCCAGTGTTCTAAACAAGCTATACAACACTATCCTAAATTTTAACATAGATTTTAACATAGATCCTCCATAGATGCAACATTTACCATTCTTAGCACAATTAAGACAACAGCTAAGACACGTGGGTAAACAAAACAGGAATAGGGATCTCCAGAGAATACTACTGAATTAAAGGCTTTTGTTGAAAAAAAAAAAGATAGAGTAAAGAAATTAAATATATAACAAAACCAATCACATTTCCAAATAATGAGCTGATTGTTTATTTTTCCTAGAAGAAAAACAATCAACAACGCGTTATGTTGTTGAATCTTTGGGCTTTTCGAACAGTTCGAAATCGGTGACGTCACTGTGCGCGTGGATGCCCGGGTCCCTCCCCGACTCCCTCACCATCCTCTCCAGGGACTCAATGTTGTTCTTTGACAGTCGGAGGTAGGAGCAGTTGAGGACCTCCATGGGGTCTAGTTCCACGGGAGGGATCTCCTTCTTCTGGCCTATCTTCAGGGAGCTGAGGAGCTGCTCCAGCTGAATCATGCGCTTCTTCTGTTGTCTCATGATCGAGCTCTCGTTACCTGCGTCCAGCTGCCGACACTTCCTGGAATAATATAATAATGATAACGGTGAGTAAGTTTAGTTTTACACCGCACTCGGCAATATTCCAGCTATATGGCGGCGGTCTGTAAATAATCGAGTCTGGACCAGCCAATCGAGTGATCAACAGTATGAGCATCGTTCTACGCAACTGGGATACGATGACATGTGTCAACCAAGTCAGCGAGCCTGACCATCCGATACCGTTAGTCGCCTCTTACGACAAGCATGGGTTGCTGACGATCAATTCTAACCCGGACCTTCAAGAGTCAATAATGATAACAACAACAAAAGTAAAATGCATGAATGAACATAATAAAAGAAAGCACAGCAAAACAAAACAAAAAATAAAATAAATAAATAAATAAGCAGGAATATGAACACTCACTTGGTAGTGTATAACCGAGAATCTTTAAGGATCTCCTCCAGTTCCTTCAACGCCTTCAGATCCAGGGTTGCTTTGCTAGCGGGTGCAGAAGCTATGTGCGAATTCGATCCGAGAGATGGACGTCGATTGCGCATATCAGACTGCAACGGTAAAATGGCTCATATCATAAATAGACACTCACGGTTTGATAAAACACGTAAAATACTACAGACTGGAATCTGAAACTTGAATATGTGCTGACGTAGGAGTACAGTTCTCCTCTTGCCATATTTAACGAATCGACGTTCCGTTCAGACTCTATAACATCAACTCAACGTCTATTGTATACATAGGACAAAATGACTATTTCACCCTTGGAAGTGTTTTTTCGGTTACTAAACGTTCTGAACGATTTGAATTGATGAATTTCATATTTACTTTCGAACATGAATAAACGTTTTGAATTTTTGACGAGGCCAAATTTACAGGTATGAACTATATATTAGTCTGTCTATGATCTGATAACAAATATGTCTGTGATCTGATAACAAATATCATGGCCATGGCTTTCACACCCGGTCATATCCACATGGAATCGCGACGAAGCGAAAGTACAAAATCTTTCCCTAAATATATCTTGTAAATTAACAATACATAAATTCTGAGAAAATGTTCAATCATTTAGCCTGGTAAGTAGGGTTTAGTGATAATAACGATATTTATCATCCAAAACTGTGTTCCACAGGAGATATAGCTTGTGTAGATTTTGTACAATGCCTTGACAATGCTATGACGTCATGAATTTGATGACGTCACAATGATATGACATCGCTACACTGCAAGTCTAATGGCAGTACTGTGTTCAGAGATGTGTATTTTTCATTAAAAACAAATGAAGAGTGATTTTTGATGATAAATAGAATCTCACCCTCGTGTCTTCTGATATCTAATATATCAACACTGGTTAATAAATCCAAAACTGTAAAAATATCCTCAGCAAGCCTCGGATATATGTAACTTTATCAAGTCGTGGTGACATATTTGATATCAAAAGACACTCGGAGAGAGATTCAATATTTATCATTCAAAACTGGCTCCCATAGTAGATATCGCTTGTGTGAGATCAAGCGATATCTACAAGCGATATCTACATCGTACATATCGCAACAATTGAACTGCCATAATGCTATTACGTCATCTGTTAATGGCCTCACAATGCTTTGACATCACTAAGAACACATCTGACAAAGCTGTGTATGACGTCACAAACTTGATCACTGCTCAAGAAGGCTAATGGCAGTTTTATGTTCAGATAAATTCATTCTTTTACTGGCAACTGACAAAGAATGATTTTGGATGATAAATAAAATCTCACCCTCGTGTCTTCTGATGTAAAATATATCCACACTCGTTGATTAAAATCAAAATATCGGCGGCAAGCCTCGGATATTTGTAACCTTTATCAACCCGTGTTGTTGTATTTCATATCAGAAGACACCTGGGTGAGATTCTCCATTTATATTTAGTTGTTCAGCTACATAAGTGTTATACGAACACCCACACATATTGACAAATGTTTTGAAGAAATAATGTGTCACAAGTAATTTCTGTGCTTTTAGTCTATTAGGTGAAATGCACAATGCCTCATTCCCTGCACGAGTGTATTATCTTATGAGGCAGTGTTTACGCTGGGTACCAATGTTTTACTTGTTATACATAGTAGCTGTAGAATCAGTGATAGGTATTTGTGTGCTGTATTTAGACCTGTGCTACATCATTATAGGCATCTCCAGTGGCCCAGAGGACATAGTGGAATTTTCTAGGCTTTTTTGTTTATATATAAGGGGAGGCCAGTTTGGATCTAAGAACAATAAGAAGACAAAGTCATCAATATCCCCCGCAATGGAGTATACTCTTCATGATTTTGTCTACGAGTTATGATTATGTCAAATATTTAGGTGTGTATATAGAAAAGTGCACGTGGAAGGAGAGTATTGAAAGGTTTTTAAAGTTCTGCTGTGGAAAAGTGCACTACCACTAATTAATGTTTTAGTCAAACTTGTTGCCATGGAAATGCAAAAATATTTTATTCAGAATTTCAAAACTACCAAAAGGCACCAGTGCACCACCAGACCAATCTATGTGCCAAGTTTGGTGAAGAAATAGTGAACGGTTTTTTTAGAGTTCTGCTCCGGGTGAAAAGAACAGGAAAGACAAATGTGCACGGACGGACGGACGGACGGACGGACGGACGGACGGAGTCCATTTTAATACCCCCCGCAAAACGCGTTGCGGGGGATAACAAGTGTTGGCTTCAACACCCCGTGGCCCAAACGACTCCCGTATCATGCCGTACCCTTTAGGAACCTTCACAATATCAATGTTTCAATTGTTTGCTCAAATGTGTATGGTACAGGTACTGAAAAAAGGAAAATGACCTACACTTGAATGTATTTTCTGTTTCTCTGGAATGCCCGACGAAGTTCCAAACTCCATATCTTTACTGGACGCCACTGTCTGGATCGCCATATCATACAGATCGTGAATGTGCTCGTGACCCCCGCTCGTGCTAGAATGTGACGTCACAGGGAGTTAAATTATGTGTATGAAAATCCAATGTATTAGAAAGTCTTTCATAATCAAATACGGTTTTTGAAATACCAGAAGGTAACAGCACTTACACAGATTGTCTGGTTTGAAATGGATACATTTTTAGTGAAGAAAACCAATTTGGATTGAGAGGTATCGGTATAATCCGCAGTGTAAAGATTATCGTACTATATACTACTACTACTACTACTACTACTACTACATGATCATTGCGCGTACAGTTACTATTATTTTGTTTTTTGAACTCCCTAGGGGAATATACAATCCCCAACGAAACGGCAGCTCTTACCCCGAAGCGTGTTTGCGTTCCCGTTTACCAGCCTTATGAGACGAATCTCTGGTTAAACTGTCTCGGGACCCATCGTCTTCGGTGACCATGATGCATGGTACGAAGTCATTACTTTTACCATCTGTGGGGAGAATACAAACCAGTGAAAACAGACGTTTGCACACGTCCATCTACTCACTAGCGCCACCCTCCCCTCTACCCATTGGGGCGGTGGGGTAGCCTTGTGGTTAAAGGGTTCGAAAACCCGGGTTCGATTTCCCACATCGGTACAATGTGTGAAGCCCATTTTTGGTGTCCCTCGCCGTGATGTTGCTGGAATATTTCTAAAAGCGGCGTAAAACTAAACTCACTCACTCACGCACCTTTCTAAATCACACCACCACCCCCGTTTGTTTACACACACACACACACTCTCTCTCTCTCTCTCTCTCTCTCTCTCTCTCTCTCTCTCTCTCTCTCTCTCTCTCTCTCTCTCTCTCTCTCTCTCTCTCTCTCTCTCTCACCGAATGTAACGCTTTTCTTGGACAGCAGTTCCTCTTGTTGCCCCACCGACAGGGACATAGCTCTCTGTCTCCCCGCCCCAGGTGCTGGCCGCGGGGTCCCGGTCCCAGGGAGACTCTCTCGTCGCTTTCTGCCCCCTGGTATGTGGCTGCCACTTCGGCTTGTCGGCTCCACTCCGTCCTGGATGGACATAGATCTGTCGCGACCTGAGGCCGACCTTCGTTTTTATACAGATAAATGCTTTTCTATTAAAGTGAAACCAAGTTAATCCGGACGGTATAGCTATAAGTCACATGGTTGGTTATTGCAGACCAGCAGTCGTGATTAACGAGATTTGACTGTATTCAGAATATACGACAAAACATTATCCAGGAGTTTTGGAACAAAGTCACATTTTGTTGAAGTTAACCTGGTGAAAACCACCAGCACAGGTTTATTGTTGACAGAATAATTATCACTACAGGGGTCAAATGCAATTAAGGAATCCTGCAAGGCACAATTAATATGGATGCTTACATTCGAGATAAGAAATTTGATTTTCTGACTTCCTGTGACATTCACGAACGTTTCGAGGTGCTACACGCTGAATTATATATTCAACTCACTTAGACTCTACTCCCTGTATGAGGTGTTCATCTATAGCGTACAAAAATAAAGCGTTCGTAAAATATTATAATTGCTTGAAAAGGGGTATTTAAGTCGTTCATATTCCGCCCCAGTAGCGTTGCTTAACAAGGTTGGTTCGATGTTAAAAAAACATTAGTATCCGAAACTTATAAGGGCTTTTGGTATTTTTTAAAAAGTAATACGAACTTCACTACATGGCAAAGCAAGCGTGCTTGTGGGAAAGTTGTGCTTTCAGTAATGAAAGATGGATCGTTAATTCCATGATGTAAAAAAATGAACGGAAGCAACAAGAACGGAAGTGGACTACTACAAATATTACTATATATACTGAGTCAAAAAAGAAACGTCACGTTCTTTCTTCAGGGCACTATAAAAGAACAAGAGATGGTAAGATGGTTAAATTGTTATTATTTCATTGCTGAGATCTGTGTGATGTACTCGATACACTGACAGTTCCGTAATCAGTTCCAGTAAGCTACACCGCCGTCCCAAAACATGGGTATACATAATGTCAAGTCACAAGAATAAAAATGCGAAATTTCTCAGTTCAATATCGTGTATGGCCGCCCCGCGCATTCACCACTGCCAAACACCGTCTCCTCATCGACTGCCTGATGCTTGTGAACACGTGGTTGGGGATTCTGCGCCATTGCTCTTGCAAGGCAGCGCCAAGTTCCTGCAAATTCTGAGGTTGGTTCCCAAGACCACGAAGCCTTCTCCCAAGTGCATCCCAAACGTGCTCTATTGGGTTAAGGTCAGGGGACCTCGATGGCCAGTCCATGACGTTGATTCCAGCGTTTTGAAGGAAATTTCGGGTCAACATCGCGGTATGCGGCCGAGCATTATCATGCTGGGACTGTAGACCTGGGCCATGAGCCGCCTTGAAAGGAACGAGTTCAGGGGTGAGCACCTGGTCGTGGTAAGCAGCAGCTGTGAGGTTTCCATGGATGACCAGAAGTCGGGAACGGTTGTTCCCACAGAAACCACCCCACACCATGCAACTTCCGCCCCCGAATCTGTCGACTTCCTGTACACAACACTGGGCATACCGTTCACGACGTCGTCTCCAGACTCTATGCCTGCCGTCCGCAAATCTGAGGGTAAACCTGATTCATCGCTAAAGACGACTCGATTCCAGTCTCTGGGTCCATCGGAGGTGACGTTGGGCCCACAGCAGACGTTGACGTTGGTGAAACGGCGTCAATATTGGCCCACGATATGGACGTCGAGAATGGAGATTGGCAGCCCGCAACCGATTTCGAATGGTCTGTGAGGACAGTCGACCTCTGAACATCTCAGCCCTGGTTCGTGTAGCCGGCAGAAATCTGTCACGTAGGTGACGTAGGACGATTTGACGGTCTTCTGCTCGTGACGTCACACGTGGACGACCCGACCTTGGGCGATCAGAAGTGGTGCCAGTTTGTTGTAGATGACCTCGCAAGTCATACACAGTACGACGGCTGCATCCCATTGCTCTTGCGACGTCAATAACTGATCTTCCCGCTTGCAACATGCCAACGGCACGTTCACTTTGCACATTTGACAATCGTGGCATTTCAAGTACCGTTAGAACTGTGGTTTAAAAGTGTTTTTTTCAATTCTTGAGGCCAATGCAAACACGTGCATATGAAGAAAACTTCGATGCAAAGATCACGTGATCGACTGCACGTGCAAAACCTGATTTGGCACTAACATCATTTGCACGACGAATGGATGGGTTTGAGTGGGTTTTGCTAACGTTTTTCTAGAGTCGAAAGATAGGGATCCCATTTCGGATACATAGCTGTATCATCAGAAAAAAATTATTCAATATTTTTCAAATGATATTTTGTGAAGTTTCTTTTTTGACTCAGTATATAATCATTCATGTCATCGCAGTTTAGCTTTAGTAGAATGGACGAACGTGGTTCATGTATAACTTTTTTCAGTAATATAGGATAAAAACCCCTAAAATTATGTATGTCGTAGACGTTTCTGATTTTGGCACACACCATACAAATTGGACTGTGCTGACTCACCTATCAAGGTTTGTTTGGTTCGTTGGTTGGTTTGTTGTTTTACACCGCACTCAGCAATATTCCAGCTATATGGCTGCGGTCTGTAAATAATCGAGTCTGGACCAGACAATGCTGTGATCAACATCATGAGCATCGTTCTACGCAACTGGGATATGGTGACATGTGTCAACCAAGTCAGCGAGCCTGACCATTCGATCCCGTTAGTAGCGTATTTCGACATGGGTTGCTGACGATCAATTCTAACCCGGATCTTCAAAAGTCAATAATGAAAACAACAACAACAAAAAGTAAATGCATAAATGAACGTAATAAAAGAAAGCACTGCAAAACAAAAAATAAAATAAATAAATAAATAAGCAGGAATATAATATATTCTAACCCGGATCTTCACGGGTGAACATAATTGAAAGATGATACCACTTCAAGGCATTCTACATGTCAGGGGTCGCACATGCTAGAGTACTGATGACCCATGGCTTGCAACATGGACAAACATACACATAAAAATATCCAACCATCTTTCGTGCAGTGAAAACATTTCTGCCGCTTTTGGGTGCATAAATTGGGATAGCTGCAACTCGCGTTGATACATGGGTTTTGCACATAGTTACCGATCCGTATAACAATCCTCTGAACTACACTCATATACCAACACATGACCAAGGTTATCGAAGTTTGACAATCTTGAAAATATCTGAATGAAAGGGACCTTCGACTTTTCCTTCAGACTTTAGAGAGTGCGTGCAACTATAAAGGACGTTACTGTTCTCAACTCAACTCAAATCAGAAGGGCGACTGGTTGATGTAGTACCCCATCTGTCTAACCCCCTTACCCCTGAAGATCCGGATTAGAAACGGCTTCAGCAACCGATATTTCTCGTAAGTGTCGACGAACGGGATCAGGTGCATGTCATCGTATCCCACTTGCGAAGATCGATGCTCATGATGTCAGTCACTTGTCCAGACTCGATTACTTCCAGGCTTGTCACGCCGAAGAACCGGGTTCGATTCCCCACATGGATACAATGTGTGAATCCCTTCGCTGGTGTCCCCCTCCATGATATTGCTTGGATATTGCTAAAAGCAGCATAAACCTAAACTCACTCACTCACCCCAGACCGCCATCATATTGCTTCGAGTTTGGCGTTAAAACAAACAGACTGACCACCTCACCTGGTCCAGGTAACCCCTGGAGGGGGACTTGCTCCTGTCCAGCTCTATCTTCTCTAGTCGTTTCTTGAGTTTCTCCTCCTCCCGTCTACAATGGGGACAAAACTGCGTTATTTGGTGTCTATCCTGACTTCTCTCTTAGAATGTAGCATTTAGCCTCACAAAACAAACTCACATGCGTAAAACCCCACTTCAGATCACAATCTTCTAATTACACAATGACATCATTTGCACCTAACAATGTGGATGAGTGAGTAAGTATAGTACTTTTCTTTACGATTATTTCAGTATTATTACACCAGACATGTGCTTTACATATTGTTCTCATATGGGATATCGATATCGATCTCGGATCGGGTGAACGCTTGAACTACTTGACTACCCTACCGCGTCAGTATTGGCAAAACTTCGTATTTCTCCAGTGAAGAATTATCTTTAAAGTGTCACTATTTTCCAGTTATTTAAATGTATACATATTACTCATTTATCAGAAAAAAGGTGAGTATTTGGGTGTATCATAACTGGAGGGGTGTTCCCGTCCAGTGAACAGTACGCACTCAAGTGATTTGTTTGGAGTGTAATAATAATAAAAATAATAATAATAATAATGAGAAGTCTTATAATGCGCTAATCTCCACGCAACAAAGTATGCTCGAAGCGCTAACACAAACATATATGTATGTACGTGTCAAACATATATGTATGTACGTGTCAAATGGAAGAAGAAATATATTTTTACTTCTCTAATCAACTGCCCGAGTTAGCATTGTCTATATACATGATGGCCTTAATAAAGATTAGGTACCCTAGAGACTTCTGGCTACTGCTCTTGAGTTTGTCCAGGTATTTCTCCTCCTTTACCAGCAAGCTGGCAGCAGTTTGATGAGTGTTCTTCACGGAGCGGCTTCGTGTCGCGGACGACAGCCTCCCTCCGTACGTCTCCATGTTGTGTCTTGTTCTGTCGACTACCACAAGCAATGATTATGACGTCACGCCCTTTTGCGATTATTGTGACGTCATCGGAACACGGTACGGATATACCACATAACTGTGACGTCATACGTTCTGTTGTATTTGTTTGGTGGGCAGGGTATAATGTTTTGCCTGTTTTGCTTCAAACGGGAGGGTATTATAAACTGGGACCAAAGACGTCTCTGCTGGTACACAGTTTAATAATAATAATAATAATAATAATAAGGGCCTGATGATGTACGCCTCTCCGTGGTGGGCCTAGATAGGGGAATTATATTCCCTGAAGGGCTGACCCCCCGAAGCTGGTTTTTCACTGGGTTACAGACAGCCAAAAGGAAAGTTTAGATTCACTTCCGCAGCCCAGTTAGCCTTCCTCCGGTAGTGAAACCAACCATACTGGAGATGGGACTTGCCCCAGGGGAAGTCACAGAACCCGACCAAGAATATCTTGGTCAAACCACCTTAAAACCACACTACTTGAGTGTGCGAGAGCGACAGGATGGCCTGAAAATCCACGTATCAATGGCAAGTCGCTGAAGCTGTATTGGGACAATGCCATGCCCATGTATGCTTACCTGACGGAGCAAAATCTCCGAGATCAATTCCGGCGGCTGAAAAATCTCTTGCCCCGTGAGCCAGTTCAACCCACAACTGGTGCCCGTCAAGAACCTTTGCATGAACAGAATGCTCAAGTGGCAGCAGACCCAAAACTTCGAATGGACGTCCATGTCAACCTCTTTCCTCTTGCTGATGGAAACTCTTCCGGCATAGAGCCAATTGGCCCCGAAATTTCAGACCCTCACTCTTCCTCTTCCTCAGTTGCAGATCTTTCTGAAAATCCTGTGTATATTTTGTTTCATTCTATTTATGATGAAATATCTGGCATACCTTTAGAAAATCGGAGGCCTATCAAATAAACAAATGAATCTTTTCCCAAAAATGAAATTAATTTATTAAATGATATTATTTCTATGAAACTTTCATCGGACTGTTCATTACATGAAGTTAATTGTTGTGTCTATGCTGCCGCTCGAACCTTGGAGGAACTTCACACAGTTTCCAAAGAAAACACATCCAATACTAAGAAGACTACACCAAAGAAAAACCGGTTTCAAGTCAAACTAACGGAAACTAGAAAATACATTTCCTGGATAGAGCTGTGCCTGAAGTTAAGATCATCAGGCAGTCCAATGTCAAAAGACAAAAGGCAATTTGGAGAAAATTAAAACTGAAATATAAAACAACGAAAGAAAAGATACTTCTCCAAATTGTCGATTCCCTTAAGGCAAAAAAATAAAGGTTTGGACTGAAAGAAAGAAAAATGGGAAAAGAAAAATAAATTCATCAAACAAAATAAACTGTTTAGAAACAATGAAAAGCACTTCTACAGGCAACTGAAAGCAAAGGGTGATGGTGAACATGACAAACGGCCTCCCATGGATGCCAATGAAAGGTTCTGGAAACAGTTGTGGTCTGTACCCGGCAACTGTAACCTTGAGGCACCATGGGTCCGTGATTATGACCATGCAATGCATGAGAAGGTAACTAGGTCGTTTGTCTGTTACATCTCACCAGATTGCCTGAAAAGTGTTATAAAAAGTCCAAATCAAATACAGCTCCAGGGCCTGATGGCATTCGAAATCGGTATTGAAACTGCTCCCCTGTGTCCAAACACCATTACTACACTGTTTCAATACTCTTGTGGACACAGGTGATGTTCCTCCATGGTTCTGCAAAGGTCGCACAATACTTCTCCCCAAGAAAGGAGACTTGACTGATCCCAAAAACTTCCGCCCTATCACATGTTTGAATACACAATACAAAATATTCACAGGGTGTTTGACAAACCTCGTGTCATCTTACTGCTCTTCCAATGATATCATTTACAGAGAGCAGAAGGGAGCAAGAAAGGGATGTTGGGGGTGCAAGGATCAACTTCTTGTACAGAAAATGATTTTGGAAGAGGCTAAAACATATCACCGCAACCTCTCCATGTGCTGGATTGACTACAAAAAAGCATACGACTCTGTCCCTCACGAATGGATTCTGAAGTCTCTTCATTGCATTGACCTCCCTCAGCGACTACTTGATTTACTCAAGTCTTTAATGAGTTGCTGGTCGACTCAACTTGAGATGTACTCGCTTGGGCAGGTGCAGACTTCGGAATCTATTCCAATCAGAAGGGGAATATTTCAGGGGGATTCCTTTAGTCCTTTGCTTTTTTTGTCTGTCTTTAAATCCTTTGAGCTTTCTGCTCAATAAAGAGGAGGGTTACCATCCCGGACCTCCTCAGCACAGATCCCCAACACCTCTTACTCATCTCCTTTACATGGATGATATCGAGCTCCTTGCCAAAGGAGATACCAATTTGAAAGAGCAGGTTCTCCTTGTCGAGTCCTTTTCGAATGATATTGGCATGACATTTGGACTCGACAAATGTAATACTCTTCATTTGAAACGTGGCAAGGTAACTAATGATGGATCGGTCAAGTTACAAGGGGGAGGAGTTATTGAGCATCTTGTGGAAGATCAGGCCTACACCTATCTTGAATGCAAGTTCGAGATAAGCTCCAGAATGCCCAGATTCAAGACAAACTTCGGGCCGAGTACAAATCTCGTTTAAAGAAAATCTGGAGCTCAGAGCTAAATGCTCGAAACAAGGTCAAAGCCACCAATACTTTTGCTGTGCCAGTCCTCTCCTATTCCTTTGGAGTAGTTGATTGGACGAAACAAGACATCCAGAGTCTTGACCGCCTGACCAGAAGGATCATGTCTGATAACAGAGCCCACCACCCTCGTTCCTCTCTTAACCGTGTATATATGCCAATCAATTCTGGAGGTCGGGGTTTGATTAATGTGGAGGCTCTTCATGATAGAATTTTATTGTGTACTTTTGCACATATTTATTTATCGGATGATCCTCTGGTGATGCATGTGAAGACTCATGATGAAAGCAAGGAATTCCACAGCTATTTTAAGCGTGCCAAGGTTGTTGGACAGAATCTGAAATTTGAGGTTGAGGTTGCTGATGGCGATGTACTGCTGGACGGTACAGCGATGGGAGTAAACCAGGTGAAGTCCTTCACCAAGTCTGCCCAGAGTCGGTCTTTTTGTGGAGAAGCTTTCTGAGAAGCCATTGCATCGTGTGTACATGCAGTGTGTGGAACAGAATAGCAATCCCTCCGACTCCTTCGCCTGGATGAAGTCGGCTGGTCTTAAATGTGAAATTGAGGGCTTCCTTTTTGCTGCTCAGGACCAGTCACTTCCCACTCGTAATGCAGAAGGCTGCAGTGTTGGGGAGCCTTCATATTCTCCGGAAAGTTCTTGGTGGGTTCGACTAGGCAGCGTTTCCTGGGAGAAGTCCCATTCGCTGTCTGGGCTGCGTGTAGAGGGGGGCAAGGGCCCTGAGCTGATGATGAGCCTTACCAGCCTGACTGTGCCAGGATCACCCAAACCCTCTCTGCTGCATATTATCTTTAATCTGTAAAACATAATAATAATAGGCCATTTATATAGCGCCTTTCCACGTCACAGGGATATGCTCAAAGCGCTTCCTGAGCTCAAGTTAAAACTATATACAGTTGGCAGGTACGGATGATTGGAAGTCACTTGCGAAGAAATAGATGAGTCTTTAGTCTTGTTTTGAATGTACTTAGGGAAGGAGATGATTTTAACTCGATAGGGAGAGAGTTACACAGAGAAGCTGCTGCATATGAAAAGGTCCTTGAGCCAAATGATTTGAGATTGTAGCTCGGGACAGCAAGTAACAGTTGTTGTGACAAGCGCAGAGTTCTTTCTGGAGAGTATTGTGTCAGAAGGTCTTGAAGGTAGGAAGGTCCTGAGTTGTAGAAAGACTGGTAGGTGAGGCAGAGAATCTTGAAATCAATCCTTTCACGAATACGGAGCCAGCAGTAGAGAGTTTAGAATGGGAGAGATGTGACAGCGAGTACAGGTGAGAGTGATGATGCGTGCAGTTTTGTTCTGGATTTTCTGATGACGATGGAGTTGAGAGGAAGAGACGCCAAACAGTAAACTGTTGCAGTAATCCAGGCGGGATAAAATCAGTGTCCGCACAAGTGTGGCAGTGGTTTCTTTTGTTAGGACTTTGCGGATGCTGCCGATGTTCTTCAGATGGTAGTGGCAGGTCTTTACTAGATGATTTATTTGCTTGTCCATGCTGAGGTTTGAGTCCAAAAGAACGCCAAGGTTTTTCACAAGAGGAGAAAAAGTAATCGAAGATTGCCCAATGGAGATATCTTTGATGATAAGGTTTCGTTGTCTTGAGATTGTGGAGATGACCATTGTTTCTGTTTTATAGTCGTTAAGTTTCAGCTTGTTAACAGACATCCAGGATCTTGTGCTGGAGAGGCATGCTTCAAGGTTGGACTTGCACTCTAACTGACTTTGTTCTGAGGACTTAAAACTGTCAAACAATTGGCTGCCGTCCGCATAGAAATGATGAGGCACATGATAAGCAGACATCAGTTTTCCGAGCGGTTGAGTATACAGGGAGAAAAGAATTGGTCCAAGAACTGATCCCTGGGGAAGTCCACAGGTTAGGGTGTGACTGGATGATGAAGATGTTCCGATGTGAATGGACTGGGTTCTGTCTGAAAGGTAGGATCTTAGCCAGTCGAGAACTGTATTAGTCAAACCAAATTCTTTCACCAAACGCTCAAGAAGAATTTCATGGTTAATTGTGTCGAAAGCCGCAGATAAATCCAGGAGGACAAGCAAAGCAGATTCACCATGGTCGACTGCAGATCTGACAGAGTTCAAGACATAATTTAGAGCAGTTTCTGTGCTGTGAGCCTGCCTGTAGGCAGATTGGTAACAATCAGTCAAGTTATGCTGAGAAAGATGATCCGAGAGTTGTTGTTTGACTACTTTCTCCAGAACTTTAGACATGAACATCAAATTTGAGACAGGACGATAGTTTGCCGATGAGCAATAGACCGACCAGTTTGGCAATCAAAACTGGCGCATGCGTCAGTTTTGGCCAATCAGCAGGCCGGGCGCGGTTTGTGGATTTGTTAGACATATTTCCGGGGTCAAACGATGCCTCAGAAGGGATGTGCTTCAAATTATGCCATTCACACTCGCTATATCTATTACATATTGCTGTGATTTGATGTGTACCTTTAACACAACCATTACGATCAAGACAAAAGATTTGAGGCGGATCAAGGAGTGCGATAGGTCTCACAATCAGTTAAATATCGGCACCATCGTTCACGAAACCTACGTCTGCTCGAAGGTGAGAATTTGCACAAATTTCCACACTTTCGCACATGTGCAAAATCTTTACCAATAGATGAAAACAATCAGAAATTTAAAACTTTGCAAGTGTTATAAACACGAACAATTCTTGTAACTACAAAATTGTTTTTGCTTACCGTTTTTAGTCAATACTGGACATTGTGTTGGTACGCCATAAAGCTGAAATGAGACAGGCGAGAAGGCCGTGACACAATATAAACAAATCTGTGTGTTATTCACAATAAAGAAGTTGACATCCAACAAAAATTTTGGTTTTCCAATGTATTCCACTTCTAAATGCCCTTCAAAGATTAAATTCTGACAGTGATCTGATTTCGGTT